CTGGTCCTCGGCATGCAGATGACGCGCTTCATCCCGGCCTATCGCCTCCCCGACAAGGCGCTGGTCGACGAGGTGATGACGATGTGCGGCGAGATCGGCGTCGATATCTACAAGCGACAGGAAGAACTGGCGGCGATCCGCACCGACCGGCGCCCCGACCTGCCCCGCATCAAGTGCCCGACCACCGTGGTCTGCGGCCGCGACGATGCGGCGACACCCTTGTTCCTGTCGGAAGAGATCGCCAAGGCCATCCCGGTCGCCAGCCTCGTCGTGATCGAGAAGTGCGGCCATCTCGTCACGATGGAGAAGCCGGAGGAGACGAACCTGATCCTGAAGACGTGGCTGGAGCGAAGGGCTTAGTCGGCCGTTCAAGTCGTCCTGAACGCGGCGAACGATCTCGCCCCCACCAAGGAGTCGCCTGATCGTTCCGTGAGGTCCTTCGCTACCGCTCAGGACGACCGGGAATTTCAGCCGATCACCTTCTTTTCCCGCAGCGCGGCGATCTCAGCCGTGCCGAGCCCGGCCAGTTCCTTGAGCACCTGATCGGTGTGCTCGCCCAGCGAGGGCGGCGGGCGCGTGTCGTCGACCGGCGTGTCGGAGAAATGGAAGTTGGAGCCGATCAGCGGCACATCGCCGACGCGGCTGTGCTTGTACTGTTTCAGCATGCCGCGGCGCTTCACTTCCGGCTCGTCCAGCGCCTCCTTCATGGTGCGGATCGGACCGGCCGGGAGATGGCGCAGCTTCTGCGCCCAGTTCTCCTTGGTGTCGGTCGTCAGCACCTCTTCCATGAGGCGTGTCAGCTCCGGGCTTGTTGGCGACGCGATTCGCCACCGTGTCGAAGCGCGGGTCGGTCAGCCATTCGGGATGGCCGAGCGCCTTGCAGGTGTCGGCGAACAGCTTCTGGTTGGCGACGGCCATGTAGATCTTGCCGTTCGAGGTATTGAACGAACTGTTGGGTGCCGACGCGAAATGGCCGTTGCCGGCGCGCTTGGGCTGGTCGCCGCCGATCAGGTAATAGGCGCCCATGTTGCCCAGCGACACGAGCGCGGTGTCGTAGAGCGCGAGATCGATATGCTGGCCCTTCTCGGTGTCGCGGCGCGCATAGAGCGCGGCGTTGATCGCGGCCACCGAATGGATTGCGGTCATCGTGTCGACGATGGCGATGGCGTGACGCAGGCCCTCGCCGTTGGCCTCGCCGTTGACGCTCATCATGCCCGACTCGGCCTGCAGGACGGGATCGTAGCCCGGCCGGTCCGACAATGGCCCGGTCTGGCCGTAGGCCGAGATCGAGAGATAGATCAGCTTCGGATAATTCGCCGCGACGCTCGGCATAGTCGAAGCCGTACTTCTTCAGCACGCCGGGGCCGGAAGTTCTCGACCAGCACGTCGGCGCTCTCGAGCAGCTTGCGCACGATCGCCTGGCCCTCGGGCTTGGTGAAGTCCAGCGCGACGCTCTTCTTGCCCCTGTTGTAGGTCATGAAGAAGTGGCTCTCGCCGGTGGGACCGCCGGCACGCGGACCCGCGCCCTTGCGCGTGTCGTCGCCGCCGTCGGGATTCTCGATCTTGATGACCTCGGCGCCCATGTCCGAGAGCATCTGGGTGCACATGGGACC